TGCACTGACTCATGTCACTTTAGTTTTATGTATTTCACCAAATGTAAATTATATTTCAATAAAATGAAAAGAAAAGAAATTTGCTCTCTGGTAGCTCTATTATATATATGGATACTCTTATAGCACATACAAATACGTATGGAGAAATATCATCTGCCAAGCCTACATACGGTCATGGGTATATTCCCTTTTGCCTAGCCATACCTGGGCATTTTGCCTGTCTACCTATGTATCCAGGAGCTCTGGTGGTGTAGTGCCTAAGGCATTTGACTGCTAACCAGAAGGCTGGTGGTTCAAACCCACCAGCCACTCCTTGGAAAAAAGGTTGGGCATTTACTTCTGTAGTGATATTGCCTTGGAAACCCAACGAGGGGTCGCTGTGAGTTGAATCTGACTCAATGGCAGAGAGTACCTATGTATCCACTTGTAGACTAATGTTTGTTATTACTTACAATGCAGTATTGTGTATGTAGAAGTTTTTACCTTTGTTGTCTGTACCTCTTGTACACCTCTCTGTGTCTTCCTTTTCCTTAGTGTTATTGTGTTGGTCATTCACTTGTGGTATATTGCCTTTCCCTTCATCCAAATGAGTACTTGTCTCTTACTTATCTAGCAATTTTCCCTCCTGTTCTGGTTACCTAGTGTCACTCTGACAAGAAAATATACCACAAATGGGATGGCTTTAACAAACAAGAGTTTAGTCTCACAATTTGGAGGCTTTAAGTCCAAGTTCAAAGTGCCAGGCTGTAGGGGATGGGTGAAAGCCCCTCAGCCTTGGGTTTCAGCTTTGCCTCCTCTCCCAGCCCACTGGAGCTAGAGGCTTTTCTTCACTCAGACAGCTGCTGGCTGCTGAGGCTGACAAGCCAAGGCTGGCAAGTAAAAAGGCATAGTCCCAATGTTACCAAACCACATAGCAGGCCATTAATTCAAGTTCACTGAAAGTCCCAAGGTTGGCAGAGCATGGCAGGCTGCCGAATGACGACACGGCTACATGCAGGGTTCAAGGGTGCCATAAGCTACAGACCATTCCCAAAGCTGTTTTTTATATACAGGAAGCAGACCACATACCCAAAACAGCTACTCAGCTGCTTGTGGTAGATCCCACCATGGAGCTGACTGCCAATCTCATCATGGGGAATAACTACCACCAGGTGCCCAGCCACTCAGCCAGGCCAAGCCAAGTTGACACAACTTAACCACCACACCTCCCCTCGCCTTCCATCACTGGTATCCAACAAAGAAAGTTTCCTTCTATGTGAAAACCTTTCCTTGACTTTTTATAATAGTGGATTCATACAATATTTGTCCTTCTGTGATTGACTTATTTCACTCAGCGTAATATCCTCTAAGTTCATCCACATTATGAGTTGTTTTGCGGATTCCTCATTATTCATTAGTGTTAAATAGTATTCTATTGTGTGTATGTACTATAAGTCTTTTTGTTGTTGAGGTACTGAAGTTTTCTAGAATTTTAGAGGTTAGCCCTACATTCTTACCATACCAGGATAGTTGCCCTAGAACACAGCTCATATCCACAGCATTTGCTCATCTTGTTCTCCTGCTCTGAAAAACCTTTCCCTGACTCCTCCAACTGCTGAATTTGAGCCCAGCTCCAAGAAGCCATGTGGATTACTTTCTTTTTCTATGTTCGTTGTTATTCATTATGTACTCTCATTATAGCACTTACCAATATTTGGCCCTACTTGTATTATCTTAAATGTTTGTAGATTCAAACAAATTACTAATTAAAAGAATTACTAATAGTAAGGGCATCTAGAAAACAAAGACATTTAGAAATGCCACTTACAGAAGATGAAGTTTTGGTTTTTTAATTGCCATAAAATAAACAATAAATTTACCATTTTAACCATACCATTCAGTGGCATTAATCACACTCAAGAGTATTGTGCCACCATCACCACAAAACTTTTTCATCACCCCAAACAGAAAACTTGTACCCATTAAAGACTAACTTCTATTTCTCCCTCCCTTCAGCCCCCTGTTGTTGTTAGGAGTCTCTGGTCCGCTCCAACTCATGGCAACCCTTACATAACAGAACTAAACACTGCCTGGTCCTGGGCCAGCCACACAATCCTTGCTATGCTTGAATCCATTAGTTGCAGCGACTGTGTTAATCCATTACCCTTTTTTGCTCCCTACTCCACCAAGCATGATATCCTTCTCCAAAAAATGTGGTCCCTTCTGACCACATGACCAAAGTAGGTGAGATGAAGTCTGGCCATTCTCACTTCTAAGGAGCATTCCAGCTATACTTTTTCTAGGCCAGATTTGTTCATTTTTCTGGCAGTCTATGGTATTTTCAGTATTCTCTGCCAACACCACAATCAAAGGCATCAATTCCTCTTCAGTCTTCCTTATTAACTGTCCAGCTTTCATATGCATATAAAGTGACTGAAAATACCAAGGCTTGGGTCAGATGTACCTTAGTCTTCAAAGTGACATCTTTGCTCTTAAACACTTTAAACAGAGCCCCCAGCCCTTAGTAACCCACTATTCTACTTTCTGTCTCCGTGAATTTGACTATTCTAGATAGCTCATGGAGTCCCTGGTTAATGCAAACTGCTAACGTGCTTGGCTGCTTAACTGAAAGGTTGGAGGTTCAAGTCTATGCAGATGCACCTCAGAAGCAAGCCCTGGAAATTACTTCAGAATAATCAGCCACTGGAAAACCTATGGAGAACAGTCCTATTCTGACATACACGGGGTCACCATGGGTCAGAGGTGAATTTACAGTAACTGGTGGTGGCGGGTGGTGGTAGAGAGCTCATATAAATGGAATTATGTATTTGTCCTTTTGTCTGACTAATTATACTTAGCACAATGTTTTCAAGGTTCACCCATGATGTAGCATATACCAGAATTTCATCCCTTTTTATGGTTGGAATGATAGTCCATTGTATACACATCTTGTTTATCCATTCATATGTTGATGGATAGGCAGTTTTTTTGTATTCCTTTATACTCTTCAGGTGGGAGCTTCCCCCCTCTCTTTCTCTGATGAGCCAGATTATACCTGTAGTTCTGGTGGGTCCAATTTCACCTACAGGCCCCAAGAGTGGATCCAGGATCCAGGCCTGACCAATCTCAGTCTTTCTCCTGGTGCCAGTAATGGGTTCAGGGATGAGTACATACCCAACTCAGAACAATCAGATATATTCTCAGCGCTCTTGCCAGAACCATAGCCAAAGAAGCTTATACCCAGGAAAGCCTGTAATATGCTACTCTTTATATCTAATTCAAAATGCAAATAGAATATACAAGGAAAATGTATTACACAGTACTCATTACATTGGTCCAGTCCACTGTGTGATGATCCTTACTGTAGCCAAAACCAACATAACAAAAAGGCACAAAGGAAATACTAAAGACATCTTAGAAATCTGGTCAGTCTCTGAAGACTAAGGAATCAGATTTGTGTTGGATTAGCTGAGAGAGCACCTTTATGCCAAATGTAGACAGCAGGTAGAGGGCAGGTTTTAACAGTGATGAATAAACCTTATTCAGAATTAAAAGAAAATGCTATCCTAAAGCACACATACTAAAAATCAAGGAAACATGAAAAGAGTCAAGAGATTTTCATATGTCAATGAGGTGGACATCCAAAGGCTTTAGAGGACTCTGTAGGAGTGTGACCTATTATGTTGCAGTATGAGCTTCTAAACCTGGGAGGAAATGAAAGTTCTGTGAGACAAATGAAGCAATAGTCCCTTTGGTGGTGAACTCCAGAAAAGAAGGAATTACACAAGCCTCCCCCATCCCCTGCCTGGCTCACCTGAGTGATGATGCGCTCTCCATCCTTATAGATCTTCTCTCCTATTACATCCACGATCTTCATTCGTTCTGACACCTGAAACAATGGACACACTCACCAATTATATGGGAAAGACCTCAACTGAAAGTCAAAGAAATGTATTAGAATAGCTTGTTTTGTTTTGAAAATTAAACAAGAGAATTGTTTTAACAGTTTTTCCTAAATACTCACAACCAGATTCTTATTCAAATAGACTTTACCTCCAGTGATTTAAGGAGCGGTACAGATTCAATAAATGATTCAAACATCTTCCTCTTTTTTGCATTGTTTTTCACTATGATTCTTCTAAAAGTCACTCGATCCTATAAGAAAAAAATATGAAAATTTTGGTAAATGCCTGTGTAAGAGAATGTCTGTGGTTTAATTAACTGGGCTACAAAAGATGTCAGGGAACTATCAACTCAGTGTTTAAAATAATGATATTTCAATCTTAAGAGTCCTCACCGGAAGAAAAAGACCTAAAGCTTGAACCAAGTAGATGCACGTGTGCTGTCATCTGCTGTCTAGTGTACAATGGGTGCCACCTATTGGTCATAAATAGAAAAATAAAACCTTCCAATCAAAAATTTGTGTGCTCACAGTCACTGTTCAATGTCAAAAGATGCACCTTCCCCCACCAAGACAGTCAGTAAAACAATCAGATGGTTCCTGTCCTCAAAAAGTTTACAAAATTTACAGAAAAACAAAATGAAAGAAACCCAATCAAAAACTGGGCAAAGGACTTGAATACCCAATCCCACTGCTGTAGAGTCAATTCCAACTCATAGCAACCCTAAAGGCAGAATAGAACTGCCTCATAGGATCTCCAAGGCTTTAAATCTTCACAGAAGCAGACTGCCTCAACTTTCTTCCACAGAGTGGCTGGTAGGTTTGAACTTCCAACCTTGTATTTTGCAGTTGTGTTTTGCAACTTTAACCACTACACCACCAGGGCTCCCTAAAGACTTAAACAGGCACATATAATGGCCAATAAGCATATAAAAAGATCCAACATTATCAATCATTAGGGAAATGCAAATCAAAATTAAAATGAAGTACCACATCCATTCCAACCAACCCACTGCTGTCAAGTGGATTGAGACTCACAGTGACCCTATAGGACAGAATAGAGGAGCTCTGGTAGCATAGGGCCTAAGGCGCTTGACTGCCAACCAGAAGGCTGGCAGTTCAAACCCACCAGCCACTCCTCGCAAGGAAGATGGGGCAATCTACTTCCACAGTGATACTGCCTCGGAAACCCAAGGAGGGGTCACTATGAGTCTGGTCTGACTCGACGGTACATAACAACAACAACAACAAAAACAGGACGGAATAGAACTACCCCGTAAGGTAGTATGGAAGCAGACTGCCACATCTTTGTCCTATGGAGTGGCTGGTGGTCTTCAATTGCCAACCTTATGGTTAGCTGATGAGTGCTTATCCATTGAGCCACCAGCGTTCCTTCTACACCCAACAGGATTGCTATTATTAAAAATCAAGCAAACAAAAATGGGAAAATAACAAGTGTTGGCAAGGATGTAGAGAAATTGGAATCCTTATGCATTGCTGGGAATGTAAAACAGTACAACTGCTACTATGGAAGAGTTTGGTGGTTCCTCAAAAACACACAGAATTACCATATGATCTACTCATTCCACTTAAACAGATACTTGTACACCAGTGTTCACTGCAGCACTATTCACAATAGCCAAAAGATGGAGACAACCCAAGTGTCCATCAGCAGATGAACAGATAAACAAAGTAAGATATATACATCAATGGAATATTACTCAGACACAAAAAGGAATGAAGTTCTGATATATATTACAGCATAGATAAAAACATGGAATGGAAACATTGTCCTGAGTGAAAAAAGTCAGACACAGAAGGATATATATTGTATGATTCTACATACATGAAATATCTAAAATAGGTAAATCTGTAGTGATAGAAGTAGATTAGACATTACCATGTGCTGAGGGGACAAGGGGAATTGGGATTTATGGCTTAATGGGGGGAAGATGTTTTGTTTTGCTTGGCTATACTTTTCTTGGGGCTTTTTTTGTTTGTATCTTGGAAATTCTGGGTTGCAGGCTCTTCCAGCACCCTATCTGGGATATATGAGAAGCTAACAAGAGAAAACCAGAAACCACTGCTGTGTCTTTTTTTAAGTCCTGAGCTTCCTAGCCAGTCTATCTTCTTTCCACCTTTCAGAGTCTTTGTATGCTTGTTTGCTGTATTATGTTCAGAGTTTTTTAGTTTAGGATTACTAAGCATTGGTGCTATTCCATTTTGGCCTGAACCAGTAGTTCATATAAATATATTTTAAATGGAGCTTATTTTCCCCCATTATTTATTAATCTATACCTGAATTTTTCAATAATTAGATCTCTAAGTATGAGTTCAACCCCTAAGCCACTGTATATTCCATCTCCTAGAAGCACTTTTCTTGGGAGAGGAGTTGATGTGAGCGCTCATTTTACTATTCACCTATTTTTCAGTGTATATGAAGTACTTCAGCAGTACCAGGGCTCCTAATAAAAATATAAACCAGTGAAATTTAAAACAATATAATCACAGTTTGCATTACATAGTAGCTTGACACAGAATGAAAACTAAACAAAACTAAATGAAAATTTCTTCTCTAAAAATAAAATTTTCTAAAACCATGAAGTTTAAAAGTTAGGATTACCCTTCAACAATTAAACTACCTCATCACATCTTCCCCACACATCCTTTTAGAATTCCTAATCTTTTTCCTCCTTGTCATAATTATACAATTCTTTATATTGCTTTCTTTCATGGTAGCTTGGTCCTTCAATTCTTCCCAATAATTTCTTCATAAAAAAACAAAAACCTAAACATCAAAATAGCAATCCTGTATTAAAGTCTTTATTAAATCTATTTTTGCAACTTAAAAACAAAAATTGGGGAATTTTCTAAAGCACTGTGGTCTATCAGGGAATTTTTAAATTAATTCATTAAATTCCAAAACATCTATTGGGATTCTGATTGGAATTACTTTTAAATCAGTTTAAATTTAGGGAAATAATTTCTAGCTAATTTAATTTTTGGTATTAAGCTGAAATAATCTTTTGTAACATTTGTTAAACCTAAATAAAGAAATGTGTGTATATATAGATATATATATATGTATGTATGTATGTTGTTGTTGTTGTTATTTGCCGTCGAGTCGGCCCCGACTCATAGCGACCCCTCCTTGGGTTTCCGAGGCAGTTATTACTACGGAAGTAGGATTGCCCAACCTTCCTTCCGAGGAGTGGCTGGTGGGTTTGAACCGCCAGCCTCCTGGTTAGCAGTCAAGTGCCTTAGGCACTATAT